TAAAGAATCTGCACTCCGCATTCTTTTTGCTGACGTAATGAAATGTCACTTGTCGAGTTAAGACTGCTCATCTCCATATTTTATGCTCAGAGTGTAGGTCAGACGTATGTGGTATTCCAGGCCGTTTTCGGAAGGGCAATGGACTGGGCAATGAGGTCGGGAAGTCAAATGACGCGGCGGGCGGCCGCAGTTCATCGCATGGCCTCTCTACATGTTCGTATTTATTGACCGCATGTGGTTTCACAGCCTCCGGTCGGAGCAAAGGGCAACCGTCTTCATTACTTGACTCATGAACTCCTTGCTGACGCGACCGGCACCCATGCGGACCGAGCATTGACAAATCTCTTACGCAATTTATTGGCTAGCATTTTTTCCCGTCTATCTTCGTGTGATTGTGACCTCTTGGCAAATACGTTCAATTCTCTTTATGCCGCTTTGGATTCCATTTTCCTCATGAGGTTAAGCAGTCTAACTTCATTTCTTTAAGGTTAAGCAGTCTAACTTCACTAGTTTAAGCAGTCAAGTAAGCCTTCTACCTAGGCTAGTATTTTTTCCTTCTATCTTCGAGTGATTGTGACCTCTTGGAAAATACGTTCAACCTTCTTTATACCGCTTTGGATTCCATTTTCCTCATGAGGTTAAGCAGTCAAGTAAGCCTTCTACCTAGGCTAGTATTTTTTCCTGCCTATCTTCGTGTGATTGTGACCTCTTGGCAAATACGTTCAAGTCACTTTATGCCGCTTCGGATTCCATTTTCCTCGTGAGGTTAAGCAGTCAACGAAGCCTTCAACTCACCCTACACAGTATTTAGTGACAGTCTTACAATTCTAGAAATATAATTTATCTTTTAACTAGTTCATTAATATTCAGTTTCATTACATTTCTAGACATTTTCAGTTGTATGACATCGGTTGTTTGAACGTTCCTTGCCATTGAATGTTTTTAAAACTATTTACGTTATTTTTAATAAATGCGTGATTATAACGAAATTGTAGTTTTCGTGCTTGATTAATATTGATGAAGATGGGGGAAATCATTTACAAATGCCGTGTCGTTGAACTCAACATCGCTACGTAATACATTCATAGATTCACTTCATCTATGATTACTTTCATTTTTACATCCCTTTATTTTCTGGTCCTAGTTTGATAGTAATTTTGTTCCCGTGTACTCTCAAATCACGTATGGAACGCCATTACAAGAGGAAAGACACTCCTGAAAGGCAATGTTGAAAAAGAAGAAAGGTTGAAATGAAAGTGCGGTGGCTGATGTAAAGAAACAATATAGAAAGCTTTGGGCAAGAACATGTGCAACAATGGCAAGAAGTGCAACAATGGCAGGTTTAATCTTTGAAAATTGTTAGTTATTCGTGTTTTTTTAAGAACTTCAAAATTAAGATGTAGATATCTCTAAGTTTCTGTTAAATCTCTGAAATGTGAAAGTAGAGGTTATTAAACTAAGTATGTCTCTGTGTGATGAGTGATTTAAGAATTTAAAAGAAATGAACGATAGTATATAACATAGACCAACACTAAATGATGGTTAGTTCAATTGACTTCACAAATAAAAATTAGAATACCCGTGCTCTTTACGAGATGTTCGTTAGAGGCTATTTCTCAAATAAGCTGCTCTCGTATGTGTCACTGGACGTTTCAAGAGAATTAACCGCTTTCTTGGAGAGCAGCTGAGCAAGCGGAACACCCTGCGAGCGGAGGCGAGCGACGGACAGAAATCGGAGCAGCGGCGGCGGTGGCGGTGGCGGTGGCGGAAGCGGAGACGGAGGCCTGGGCGGCGGCACCAAGGGCGGTGGCTGTGGCAGGGTGGGTGCGGCACCAGGGGCGCTGGCTGTGGCGGTGGCGGTGGAGGCGTGGCGGCGGTGGAGGCGGCGACGGTGGCGTTGGAGG